TCAGCTGGCAGCCATAATATTCATCGCTTTGCTTTTTAAAAAAAAGAAACAGAAAATACTTGAAGTAGCGGTAATTCATCGCTTAGTTTTTCCAGCTATACAGCTAACCAACTCTTCCAATTGCTATGCCCAGTGCCTTTTTCTACTGCTTTGACCAGTGCTTTTCCAGTAACATTAACCTGATGGTCAGCTTACTGGCGATTTTGTCGCTCGTATGGCCTCCTAAAGAAGTACCTTTACCTAGTTAGCGATTCACAGAATTGCATAAGATTTGGAAAAATCATAGGGGGATCCAGGACGGTTTCCCAAGGGAAAGGCGTTTTTTCTCCTTCCCTCCCTCTTCCCCGGCTCCGCCCCCTCGTTCTTTCGCCCCGCCTCCCCCACCCTTTGTCACCACATCCCCTTCGGCCAGCTCGCTACCCACCGCTCGATGGTCCTGCTGCCCCGTCGCCACTCGACACTAAACTACGGCGACGACCAGAGAGGCGAACTCCTGCGGAGACGGGGGGAAGGGGAGGGGCGAAAGACCCGAAAGACCCCTCACTTCCCCCGCCTTCCCTCTCGCCCTCCTCCCCTGGATCCGCCAATGAAAAAGATGCACCACAAATTATGAAGCGCACCAAAATAGCTTAATATATTACCACTTATTCTCATTTTCAGCTTGACTATAATATCCCAGAGCCGGTATGCAAAGTTCGAAATTTGGAGCTCGGAAAGAGCTATCAGTTCCGAGTTCGAGCAGAAAATATATACGGTATAAGTGATCCATCACCAGCTTCGCCACCATCTCGATTGATGGCGCCTCCACAACCTGTGCTGGACAAGAACAGACGAGTGATCCCACTGCTCGATCCATATGCAGAGCGTGCCCTTGATCAGGCTTACGCTGAACAATATGGTAACCGCTACTGTATCTGTTTCGGCTCATCGTCCTCAAGCATTTAATAGTGTGCGCAGTTTGATTCCTGACCTCAAATGTTAATATTTCGATGAAATCGTCAGGAAAGTGAAAATTTTTGCCGAGATGTGTTCAGCTTTACTTAAAAATTGGTGCTGGTTGAAGGAATGCAGCGCAGGATCAAAGGATCTTAGCTGCTCACGTTAAGTGGATGCTTTTAGACAGTTAGGCTTGATCCTGTAAAAAATAAGTTTATTCAGGTGCATTAAGATCCCAGATTGCCTTGAATCCATCCGCCAACAATTCCAGAAATAGGTTGCCGTCGACTAATTTGCTGGCTACTGAAATTCTGCTACTGCTCAAAATCCACATTCTTGGTTCTGTTCCTCTCCTCCTTTCAAAAAAAATTGGGCACATGGATTCTGGGTTTTCATTTTAGCTCTTCCTAATTTGCACTCTTTGTCATTTCTCCAATTTACTGTTTGTTTGCAGGACTGGTCGAAATTCTTAAACGGAATATTTATTCTTTGTGGTACGTGCGAGTAGTTTGTCTAAAAAATCGGCTTTAAATTTATTTCTAGTCTTTCTTTTGCAGCATGCGCACCATGGTTTGCACCCGGAGTTGAAGAGAAACGATTCTGTGCAGAGAATGACACTCTAATAATAACATTATGGGTATCCGGTTATCCGGATCCAAAAATCACATGGAAATTCCGTGGAATGGATTTGGAATCTGGACCTACATCAAAGTAGGTTTTTTTTTTTTCATTCCGCGAGAGACTCACCGTTAGGTTAATGTAGGCAAGGGAGCGTCAAATAGTTGAGTGAGACATGCCATCAGAATCATCTGGACACTTTAAGTCTGGATCTCTCGATTTCACCGGCATACCAGAATTTTTGCGTGTGAGCCTTCGACAGCCTTGTTAGCGGCTAGTTACTACCGTTACTTGCTACCACTTAAGCTACCTTCGAGTACCTTTGCTTGTCGTAGAGGACAAATTTGGAGGAATTTGAGTTTTAGCTTATTTACACCTGCTTATTTCAATTTCTCCAGAACACGTGTAACTACACATGGCGGCACGGAAACAACGCTTACAATAAATGGGTTTGGCAGGGAGAATGTTGGACAGTACCAATGCATTGCTAGTAATCAGTACGGCGACGCTCAACAAAATATCCAAGTTGATCTCGGTGGTTCGTTTCAAATTTTTTTTTCTTGAAATCATCTTGATAAGTGAGCCGGGAAGCGAGAAATAACATTAATTAGCTTTGATTTCTCGATCAAGGTTTCGTATTAGTGGAAACTAAGATGCTTTCTGCTCCAAAGCTTTTTCTTTCAGCTCGACCAAGGTTTATTCAGCCGCTGATTAATAAAGTTGTGTCGGGTGGTAAACCGCTAAGGTTAGATGTACGTGTTGAAGGAAGTCCATTCCCAGAAATCAAATGGATGAAGGTTCGTTTATTTTGCTCATTAAAATATCGAATTTCTTATGGGAAAATTTTCAAAAAAATTAAAATTTCTGATGGAAAAATTATAAAAAAGCTTTGTCTAAATAATTTTTTCGTCCTTACTGGCTGCTGAGAGTGAAAGCAGTTTGTAAGAAGTTGACTGTATTACATTTTCGGCAGATACTGCGCAGCAGGTGGATCTGAAATTGGGATGAGGTTGCATCCCAGAGACTTCGTGAACCTCACGCTGGAAGTATCTCATGTTAATGATTTTACTAGATTACTTCCTAACACCGAAACAAAGGCGCTTCAAGTCCTTCGATTCTGAGCTATGGTAGTTTGCCCTTCTAAGACTGTACGAAAAAGTCCAAGAATGCTGTGGTTAAATTTTATCACGTGGTTCTGGGAAAAGTGAAAAAGGGATTCTTCAATGCCGCTTCACTTGTCTCTTTCTCCTTCCGCCGCATTTCGCTCTTCCTCATTTCACTAAGGACTAAAAAAAAGTATTCCCTGCTTAGTAATGAAAATTGCCCTTTTAGTGGTATCGATAGATTTTACTTGTTGCCTGAAAATTCCAGGAATGGAGGCCAATTGTGGAATCATCACGTGTTCGATTTGTTCGTGAAGGACCATATCTGTGTTCGTTGATAATTAACGATCCGCTGTGGCGCGATTGTGGTATCTATTCGGTAACTGCAGTCAATGAAGCTGGTACAGCAACGACGACGTGTTCAGTCACCGTTGAAGGTTGACACATATCATGCTTGTAACGTAGTGTTATTATCACAACTCCGTGATGACTTAGGGAAACAGAATTGGCCCGTTTTACGAGAGGGCATGTTGCACGTGGTACCACCAAGAATGACCACTCGGACTTGTTCCCCGGCGCGTGTAATCTATCCCACACCTCAACAGAAAACGAGTAGTACAAGACGGTTGAGCTTATAGGCGGATCCAGGGCGACTCCCTGGGCGGGAGAAGGGCGGGGAGATGGGGGGAGAGGTGACGAGTGGAGCTTCTCCGGCGACGAACGGGGGGAGGGAAGAGTTGGGTCCTGGAGGTAGGGAGGAGGGGCGAAAGGGCCCTTCGGTCTTCCTCTCCCCCTCCCCCTGAATCCGCCTATAATTGAGCCTGGCCTACAAGCGCTTGCACGGACTTCTTCCTTTTCAGTAATGCCACAAATCCACTGTCGATAATCCACGTTGATTAGTGATCACGTTGATTATTGTTGCTGCAGTGCTTGTATATATAAATAATATCATGTAATCATGCAAAATTTGAGAGTTCTTTCTTTTTCCGGACAACATTTTTTTTTGCGTCGAGGAATGACAGTATCATAGTGACACAGTATCCACCGTGATAAAACTTCTCCTAGGCACAAGAAATATGGTACCACACATAAATGGCAACGTAAAAAGCTACACGCTTGTTTACTGGTTAAAGTAACAAAAGAAAGATGGTAATGATGGAAAAAGATATCTTCACCGCAGTCATTATAAAACTGTACATCGCTCTAGTACTAAAATTACCCGAGTGGTTATGATGAACTTCTAAATGTTGGGAGTACACTCTAGAGGAGTGGAAAATGGAAGAATGGAGTGTAGTGCTGAGTTTGATGAAAAACCGGCAGAAAGCTCGCAAAGAAGCGACCACAAGGAACAAATATAGTGCTTATGGGAAGTAGACAAGAAAAGAAAGATGTATTCTGCTTTAAAATGCAGATACACAGTGAATGTGCTGCCAGGTTGAGGTGGAGCGCAAGGATAGATGGTGCAGTGGTCTGGGACGTCACGTCCGGTATGGAAGCAAATGGTTCAAATCCGGTCCATACTCACTGCAAAACAGGGCTCCAATCACGACATTTGGGCAGTTACTACAACTCGGCTCGGCTCGGCTGGTGGTCGTTCGTGCTTGGGAAGCCCAGTGTCATCTCCGGCAACAATGTTTCGTGGCGTCGCTCACCGGGGTTTTTTGGCGGCCTGCCAGAAAGGCAGGGCAACGTTACCCAGGCCGCAGTGGCTGTATGGCCTGACAGGTGGGAAGGCGAGACAGTAGGGGGGCAGCCGTGGTTGCGGGGGCATGTAGAAGGGTAAGCGACGGACAGTGGGTGTACAAATGTCTTCCCCTCCCCCCTCTCTCTTCCTAAGCATCAAATTTTCCCATTTCCCCTGCTTCCTGGTAGTGAGGACTGAGAGTAGTGTGCGACCAAACTCGCCTCCGCCACTCAGTCCCTCTAAGCCGCACACCCACCCCCCCCCCCC